TGTTCACACAGCTGCAACGGCAGAGTATCGTTTTTAGTATACCTAGCAAAGAAGAATTAACAGATAATCAATGTATTGTTCATTAATAAATGTCATCGATACTTAAAGTAATCTTCAGTGTTTACTGTACACACGTGTATCGGCAGGTACTTGAGTATTTTGCTGGACAAGTCATGCTCCGCTCCTTCCTCCTCAAAGATCGGGATCGTGCAATTGCTCACATTAGCACATATTCTACAGAGACGATTCCACGCAGTCGTAGTTTCCGCTTGATGTCCCTGGGACATCGTGTCCTCGACGTTCCCTTCCGGATAGTGTCCTGTCTGATCCTGTGATATCAAGAAGAAGTCCTCTTCCATCACACCAGATTCATTACGTCCCTCTTGGATCACTGAACACTTCACAGCCTCGATCAGCATGATATCGTCAGGAGACTCCAACGTCGAGTTTTTCGATTCCATGCCGACGAAGAAGACGGCCACGTGCTCGACACGCGATTAATGAAGAAAACTCGATAATCTAAAAATAGTTCGCTTGTTGAGTGCAAGGTGTCTTTAATAAAAGATTTCTCTTACCAACAACATACCAAAATGCAGTATATGAACGAGGAACTGAAGCGAGCTTGTTTGGAGCTCTTAACTGCTCCGAACGCGACTCGGCCAGCGTTCGCATGCGCTCGACGGCTGAACGATGAATGGTCGAAGCTTCAAAATGGAATGGAACGCCGAATGCGTACGCATCCGAAGCAGTGTGTGTTACGCGAGGCATTCTGCGCACGTGCACTGCAGCGCGCAAACTAGTCAAGTAAGTAATCGAAGGCTGGATAATAACTAAAAAGTTACCAACTTTAAATGTAAGTAAGTTAATTAGTTAATTTAAAATAAGTTAACTTTTAACTTCAACTTATCTTTAATTCGAATTATCCTTAAGACACATTAACTTTTATTTTAATTATTTTAATTAACTTTTAATCACTAATTTTTTTACATTTTTTTAATCTCTTTAAATATCAATATTTTTTCCTTATAAAATCTTAAATATTAGATATTTAGATCATGGTATTTTTAATAAATGTAAATAATATAATAATAAAAAATTAATTTATGTATGATGTAGCGTATATCAAATCTATGAACGCAGAAGAAGAACACTTAAAAGTTTAGACACAGAAGAAATAGAAAACAAGAAATTAAA